TGGTTGCCTTTTCTTTTGTATTGTCGCGCACTACTCCTCTCTAGTGATATTGTAATGCGTGAGATTTTTTTTTCAGTTTCTGGGCTTTGTGTTCTTCTGTTCTCTCCATGAGCAGTAGTACATGTGCCAGCAAAAGGCTATTGTAAAGGGGAGGGGAGGGGGGATAGAAGCAAATGTGAGAAAATCTTAGTTGCGCGGACTCTTCACTTTTGATGCCGCACCCGTCTCGGATTCTTCAAAAATACACTACTTTTGGTGAATCTGACACGCACACGTTGGCATTTTTGAAGAGTCCAAGCAACATAGGAGAAAATAAAGAGGAAAGAAATAGAGATGAAAAGGGTTGCTAGCGTTTTAGAGCTACATTAGTGTGAAATTCGTAGTTTGTGTGGCATTGGACTAATATGTGTTATTGGCAATAAATGTTATCGTCGATTGTCAAATTGGTTTTGATACAATTGCTGTATGTCTGCTTTTCGGCATGTAACATTCTAAATCGCTTAACATTAGGTCCCATTTCTGCATTTAATGGTGATACCTCTTCAAAAAAACATGTCAAGTGTTCTCATTCCTTTGGTGCTATTGGTAACAGTTTTTTGCCTAAGCAGCTTTATGACGTTGGTACTAAGTCTCCCTTCATTTTTTTTTGTGAGTTTAGCTTGTGGGCCACTTTCTGGAGGAGACATGTGTTAACCCTACTTTCATTATCAACCATCCAGAGATAATGAGTCCTTTGGCGAAGTGGCACAGATCGAAACCAGGCCTGACAGAACGTTTTGAACTGTTTATAAACAAACATGAAGTATGCATTCTTTCAAGTCTTACAAAGTTTAAACTGTATTTTACCATCCCAATACATGTTGTAATGTGCTTCTTCTCTGTTTAATAACTTGACAGCTTTGTAATGCATACACTGAGTTGAATGACCCTGTTGTCCAACGCCAGCGCTTTGCTGATCAACTCAAGGTATGTGTGGGAAATGTGCAACTTGACTTGGTGGCTGTTCGTGTTCTTCTTGTTGTGTCATTTCAATTATGTGCAACTACTTATTTAGGCATAATTAATGTCAATTCAGGACCGACAATCAGGTGATGATGAAGCTATGGCACTGGATGAGAATTTTTGCACAGCTCTTGAATATGGATTACCTCCTACTGGTGGTTGGGGATTGGGTATTGACCGACTTGCAATGTTGTTGACAGATTCACAAAACATCAAGGTTTGTACCTTCACTTATTTCCTTGTTAGGAAGAAATGACCACTTAGTTTCAATTTATTTTGGAATGTTGGAGTATCCCACATTGGCCGAGGGAATGGGCTGTTGTCTTCCTGATTCCTACATTATCTTCATCAATCTTCACTTCATGAGATAGCTTTTGAGGTTAATTTAGGCCCAAGATTCATTTTCTTAACATGGTTTTAGAGCCAGAGCAAAACTAATCCATGTTCTTGGTTTATCCAATGTTGGGCCATCATGTTGTAGTGTCTGTGTTCCAGATGTCCAAGTCCTAGGCATGTGGGTTGGTTACAATATCATCCAAATTTATATATTTTTTAAAATGGATTCTTTAGTTATACAATTTTAGCAATTCTCACCTCATGATCTAGCTTTGGGGTTTTTTGTTAGACTCAAGGTTATTTTATTTCAACTACGATGAAATGGCCATTCATTTCCAATCAATTCCTCTGGTGTTCTGTTTCACATCCATTTCCAAATGATGGATGGAGGAGGGCGCTCATAGAAGAGCCTACAAAGGCTGGTTTTCTACGAACTTGTGTTGTCTCAGCAATTCCCAATCTCTCATTTTCTTGTCACTTCCTTTATGAGAAAGCTAGTGTTTCCTATTATTTGAGTTAGATACTGAAATCTATTTTTCTTTCCTTGTTGTGATTTTTTCTACAGGAAGTTCTACTCTTTCCAGCCATGAAGCCACAGGATGAGCCAGCTTCCAAGGAAAGGTAAAGATTTCCTCCTTTCTTTTCTTTGAGTGATATACGCCGGTATTAGTGTTTTCTGTCAGATGGTTAGAATTAAGGTTCGTCTTGGATTGTGCTGACAGCTAGCTGACTGATTTAGCTGTCCCAAAAAGGGGGAAAAACTAGCAAACTGGTTGATCTTCAAATCAATATCTCTAGTCTTTGTGGGTAGAGTTTGTACTTGGCACCCAAGGGTGTCGCCTTGTGGAAATTTGAAGTGGGTTGACAACCATGTGGTCTCAACTTCAATTCCCAGCGGAGACTAAAAACACTAGGTGTTTTTTTTCATCTATCCAGATCTTGATGGATAGAGTTACCTGGTACTTGTGCAATGGGAGAAGTCGGGAAACAAACTATTGCACAACGACTATGACTCGCGTCGGAGGAGCTTGCAGGTAGCGGGTAATTAGTTGTGTTGCGCGCACACTGGCTGAGCACCACGGTTGTAAAAAGAGTTACTTTGTACTTGTACTGATGGAAGGAGGTACGTCCTCGGTGGAATAGTCGATGAGCATGAAAGCTGCCCTAGAAACCACTATCATAAAATAGTAAATAATATCCATGATAAAATATTGACTAAGCAGTGGCCTTGGGTGGCCTATTTTTGAAAACAACTTACTATGTTCTTCGATGGGTTTGTGGGTGGGGCTAATCTTGGTTTCTGCTTAGCTGAAGCAAACACATATATTTGCTTGTAAATGTAATTTATGATGTCACGTTTTTCCTTAAGATTTAACTGCCAGTGAAACCTATGTTTAAAATTCTCCTACATAATTTTTTGAATTACATTATGTGAAGTTGAATCTTTATTTAGCGGAATAATATTGAAAACCAATAAAGAGGAATGGGTGATGCTGCTTTGCTAGTCGAATTGTGAGAAGTAGCACATGTTTTAAAAGAAGATTTGAGGATATATCATAGGACAATTGTTAAGATTCTTTTTTTTTTGGGGGGTGGGTTTGGTTAGCATGATGCCCTCTGGGGGTTGTAAATCCCACCTCATCAGTTTTTACCTGATGAGTTTTTTGGTGTGAATACAAAGTTACCTTATCAAAAAAAGATATATCTTAAAAGAGTGAGTTACATGATTTGCATTGTTAAATGGGAAGGGATTAGTGGGGAAATTTTACCTCTTTTACATGGAATAAATTGGACAATGCTCAGATTTGTGGTTGGGTGTTTGCTTGGCATGACACGAGAGCTGTATAAGAAAAGCCTATAAAAACCCAAAGGGTCCCTGCCCCGTGGTGCGCAGTTCAAAGTAGCTATTTTTTATTTGCAGCACGATTCAAGCTACAAAAACCTTTATTTCCTTATATAATAATGGATGATTGGGAAAGAACAAAATAGGTGGTGTTTTGCAGGGGTTGCTTTTTCAATAGACAGATTTCATGTCCTTTTCCATTCAAGCTATTTTAGTAAATACATCACACTTCTCATTGAGCTCTCTTTTCTCTATCCAGCAATAAAAAACCTCAGGAGGAATCTGCCAAGCCTCAGGATGAACTTACAATGCAAGGTAGATAAATCTGGTAGATATGCCTGAGTTCCTTTTTATTTTCTTCTACTGTTGCGTCAGGAGAAGAGTGTTTTCATTTTTGCCTCTGCTTGTAAACAAAGCCTAGTTTTATCGATGTTTGTCTCTGGGGGAGAACTGCCTTCTTACTTGTTTGTACATTGCTACAGATGTGGAAAAGCAGATTTCCGACATCAAAATGAACTGAATCAGATCATAGATATATTGAACGTTGAGTTCCTGCAGCTCCTGGAGTAGCATTTTTGTGATACCTTTTTTTTTCTTTTACTATTTAATTAATGGTTATTGTCTATTGTTATGGCAAATGCTATCTTTAATTTGTTAGTATCAGAAACTTTACTCGTATACTTATGAATATGGTTGTATCAGTCAAATACTTTTAAGATGTATTCATTTATGCTCTCTATTCCTTCATGTCTTCGTTTATTCCATTTGTGCTTTGCTTATCCTCATACCACACATAGATGAGAGGAAGTCAAGCATCCTGCTACTGTTCTCTTCTTAGCCATTAGAAAGGTTGTAAACATGTAAAAGTTGGCAGTGTTCGTGTAGAATGTTTTTATAGAGAAGTAAATTCTAACATGAAAAATCAATTCTGAAGAAGTAGATTGTTATAGTGAAATATAACTATAGAGGATGTCTGTTACAAGTTTGATTGTAGCATTATTTAAACTGTGACTCCATTTCATGCTAGCTGTCTACGTTCTCTTTTATACGATCTTTAAGAAAGTATACATAAGATAGGTAGTTTTACTAGTTTATTCTTTATCCACGCTCTTATAAAAAAGAAGCTTTTTGGAACTTGTTTAGGCTTTCAAAAAAACATTAATTGTAGGGGTAAATTGGGAAAATATTAATTAGTTTTGTCTTGGTTTGGTAAATGGTCTAATAATTTAGGACAACTATTTATAGTAAGGTGATCAATTAATATGGGCGAAGTAAGTATAAAATCTATAAGTATGTTGTATTGTGATTTTCATTAAAAAATTGCATATTTATGAATTATGTTTCAACAACTTTTTAATAGGTGGTTTAATTTGTTCCACAATTTCAGACTAATTCCAGTGAACTTGTTACAAACCTTGGGAACAACTTCAGACAATTTAGTCCAAAGTTTGGTCAATTTTTTTTCCTGTAAGTGGTTCAGTTTCTTGTGCAACTTTAACATGATTATAATGGTCAGTATTTCGTAGCATACATAGGAAAGAGCTAATAAGAGTGAATTGTACTTCCTGCTGAAATACACATACAAAGGCAATATCACCATTCAAGTGGAAGCAATTATAACATCAAACGCACAAAGTTTGACAATAAATAGGGAAATCCAACTTCTATTAGTATTGTCTTAATTAAAAACAGCATACATAGTACCCCAAGGTCATTTCACACACCAACCCCACATTACATATATATAGAACATGGCTATACCAGATAAAAAGCAATAATACACAAGGTTCAGTTCACAGAGGAACAGACCAAATTCATTAATACATTGAACATGGTTTTGCCTTATTTAGTGATATTTCACAAGGGTAGCTAGAGATGGAAATTCATGAAATAATAACATGCGATAAACACCAGAGCTGGGCCGTGAAACCCCTAGGCGGGAACCATGGTACTATGGGTGTTGAGACCATCAATCTCCTCCATGGGCTGTGGAGGTGTGACATCTAGATCCTCAGGAGAACCATCATTGGCGTTCTCATTCTCTTCAACACTGAGACTAATAGCTTCAAAGATGAGAGCAGTCACTTCTTGGAACCTTGCTTCAGAGAGTGAGACCTCGGCGAGAAGCCTCCATGCATTTGCCTCAGTTGCACCCTCATAATCCTCCTTCCTCTTCAAGACCATGTGTCCACTAATCTCCCAAACAGCAGGATTGACTTGGGTGTCGAGGAGTTCAGCGTTGACCTCTCCAAGAGCTTGTTTCTCTGCATAGCACTGTTTCAATCCACCAAAATACATATAAGTTAGAATAGTGATCGATTGTTGGGAGGAACTGTTAATAATTAAGGAATCCCAAAGTAGTTGTAAAAATGTGGTTCAAAGAGTTATATACCTGTGGGAGAAGGAATATCCTTTTTCCTGAATCGGAGATTAGGACATTGTAAGGGATGTTGTTCTCTTGCAGACAAATGCAAGAATCTGAGACGACATTGGCCAAATCCTCCAAAGTATTTCCACCCTCAAAGACGAGACCTCGAACTGGGTAATTAAGCATCTCCGATATCTTCACTCCAGCATCAGTGACGGTTATCTTCTGAGTTGGGGCCTTCTCAATGGGGAATTGCACAGCCAAGAAATAAGCCTGAAGAGATCAACAGCAATGAGATTTGAGTTCCTTCTTCATTATGAAAGCTCTCAACTATGTCAATCATGGAAAGTGTTGTAGACTCTACCTGGAAGTGAAGATGGTTGATGGTGGCAAATGCACCCAAGCTGTTGTAACCCAATCGGAAGTATGGGTTTGCTGCTTCGGCAGCCATGTGCAGTGCAAGCAGGAAGCTGTCCCTGTCGATCCTCTGGGGAAGGCATTCAAGGACCTTAGGGATCAAAAGCACGTGTCCGTACTCAATGGGACTGACCTGTTGCATTGAAAACCAATATACTCATTAATCACTGTTTCTACTTACCAAAAAAGGTTCCAGTATATGTGCAAAACTAACTACGAACATACATTGATGGCAACGACACTTGGAGATTTCTCAGGATCAATTGGTGCATCTGGATAGAGCTGGACTTCATCTTCCTCACTTGCTTCAAACTGAAAGAGCAACTCTTCCTGTCCAACCTTAGTGAAGTTGAACTTGCTTCCATCAAAAGGCTGCAGCACCTTATCAACGCGAAACTCAGTTGGCCTCTTCTTGAGGTGCCTTCCCTCATTCAGTTGAGCAACGAAACCATATTCTCCAGGAATCACCTATAACCATTTATTTCAAATTAAATTGCCAATTCACAAATGAAGTATCCTTTCTTCACATCAGTCAAAATCAGTAAGTTCCCGAAGCAACAACTTGAAAAGCAAGTGCTGAGCAATATCACAACACTCGTTTCAAATTTTCCACACACCGACAAAAAACGCTAGTTCAATTTTAAACACTACGTAACATCAATTTACTATGCTACTATAAGACATAAATGACTACATCTTCCTCAACCTTACTCTATAAAGGTAAGAATTGGTTCAATACTTCATATCACTTGCCGCTCATTATCAATAACCATGTTAACCTCCAAAAGACATAACCCAAATTTCCAGAATTACATGACCTTCTACTGTTTCAAAATTTCCCTATTCACTTCCTATTGTTATACTACTTCCCTCTATCCATGTTTACTCATCTACTATACTAAAAACAAATGTCCACTTTTACTTATCCAGTTTGGCAAAACAAGAGATAATATTCCATTTTTTTATACCTATATACCTTCTAAGTACTTTGTAAGGGATGTGTCAAGTCAAATATGGACGAAGAGATTATTATCTTTTGCAACTTCTAATAGTCCCCTAGATAGATTTTGTAAAACCAGCATTTCTAAACCATGTCTATCTAACTGGTAATAACTAAAGCAGAACGTGTAGGCATCAAATACAGTAACCACAAGAGAGAAGAAAAAAAAACCTTAGTTTCGCAAGCAGTGACATCATAGCGAAAGAGGCCTTTCTGCTGACGATCCTCCCACTGCACATCAAAATTGACCAAAAAAGTGAGTAATCAAATAAAAAATATCTCAAAATTGGCAATTTTAAAATAACAAAACAGTAACCAAATAAAGAAGCTTCGCACTTACTTCCCCAAGAACAAGGGATTCCAGAAAGTCGATCGGAGATTCCTTTGTTTCATCGGCGGCAACAGACTTGCCGTAGCTCAAATTTTTGAAACCATACAGTGGCAGCTTTGACCCTTCAACAGTACAAACACATAACAACAAAATCAATATTCTGCTAAATCAGCTTTAATTGAACAAACAATTGGGAAAAGGGAGTATACAGTACCTGGAAGGCAGCAATTCCTGAGGCAATTCCGGCCACAACCAGCACCACGAGCACCAATTTCATCAGCCTCATCCTTTTGAAAGTTAGAAACAAGTGTAGGAACCCTCTTAATTTTGAGCATCATCTTTACTTCTTTTTGTGTTTTTCTTCAAATAATCAAGAGAATACTAGATAGAACTGTACGTAATAAGCTAGAGATCTACGGTAAGTATAACTATATCTAGTAGGAGAAGGAGAGGAAAGAACCGCCGCCGGCAAGGAAGAGGAGGTCGGAAGGACTACCACCTTCAGAGGGCAAAGCGCCACGTCCACCGTGCGGCGCAGGGTTAGTAGCTGTTACACAACCCTTACGACGTACTGCTGGAACATGTAAAAGTGGTCGGCGGTTTACTTTGTGTATAGCCGTGATGTCTACAACTTGTTAAACTGGGCTTTACCCTCAAAACTGCAAATACAATAACCCCTTCCTCTTAAACCCGAAACTAAAATTCCAAGATTCTTGTAATGGGGTCTCTGTTTTTGTTGATAGATTGCTACTATGGGAGAAAAAAAGAAGAAATTTGGTTGTTGTTGATGATAAGGGAGAAAGAGCAGGGAGATGTGGGTATTTATATAATAAATTGTAGAAGGGATAATGGAGGATTGGAAAATTGTGGCTGTGGGTTTGCCAATGGGGTAGAGAAGGATAATGGCGCTTGCTTACTGTGTGTGAACCGATACAAATGGAGACTGTGGAAGGTGTAAAACGTGGCTAGAAAGGCAGATTGTAGACAGGGTTACGGTAAGCTGAACAAGTAAAGATAGCGGTGAAAATAAAAATAACTTTTTTGGTATAATTTTATAAGCGAAATTTGAAAAGTAAACACTATTTTTGGGTATGATAGAGATTGTTCCAAATAGACATGATAAACTGTTGTCTCTATAATTTCTGTCTTTCGAGTGAGTACTTTGTGCACACCAATAAATCTTTCATTGTATAATAGCGTACAATCACAAGAAATAATATAAACTCTATTATGTGATAGGGTTGACTCAAAAGATATCGAGGAATTAAAATAACTTCCAATTCCAAGACAATTAATTATTATGAGTAACATGAAACAAAGTTAATTCATTTTACCTTAAATTAAAATAATAAATATTTTGAGATTATTTTTAGTAAAATTAAAAATTAATGTGGAACCCAAGTTTTTAGAGTTAAAAGTTAAGAACGTTGACCAATGTTTTATGATATATTTTCTTATCATATTGATATGTAAAAAAATGTAATTTATAATTCCTTTTTGTATAGTTTTTTAATATCTAAATTTTTAATTTAAAATATTAAATTAATGAAATCTCATTTATCTATAAAATTTATTCAAATTGGCAACCAAAGGAATAGTGTATTGCTTTTTTATTAAGAGGTGAAGATCAAAATTGAATGTTGATAAACAAAAATATCCTTATACGATTGGTACACTTTAAAATATATCCATATCCAGAAATTATAAAAAATAACATATGATTGCAATTGGCACATGTATTTAAAGGTTTTTACCTTTACATCTTCCAATACTAATTTTCACAATTTCCATTGTACTCGACTTTTTGTAGATTTTTATATGATCTTTAGTTTTTTACATGTAATTTTCGAGCCATAGATACAAATATATAGTACTACAAAATTGTTACCCCTTTATATATCAAGAATATTTATAAAAAAAAAAAGGATTTTTTTATTTTATTTTTTATTTGGTGATCGGAGCCCACATTGAAGCTTCGATTAAATTCAGATCGCGCACTGCAGAGCACATTCATCCTGATCGCGCATTGCAGGGCTCATTCGGAGATGGCACTTCTAACATAATTTTTTCCATACCCAAGGCTCGAACCTGAGGTTAAGGATAAAACACTCCCACCGGTGCACCACAACCCATGAATATTATTATATAGAAGAGTGAAGCCAACCAACGACCAGTGGCAAAACGGAAAATAAATCAAACATAGAAGGGCAAATATCAGTGGCACAACGGATATTAAATCAAAAATACAATGGCAAATTATAACTTCTATACTAATGAAGAGTGAAGCCAACCAACGACCAGTGGCAAAACGGAAAATAAATCAAACATAGAAGGGCAAATATCAGTGGCACAACGGATATTAAATCAAAAATACAATGGCAAATTATAACTTCTATACTAATATATAGAAATATATATATATTGATATCTGTGCACTCCTGGTCAAAGGAAGGTTGTATTTTTCTTTTTTTATATGACCAAGGGTAGTTTTGTCAAACAAAAAATATTTCAAGCTTAGTTTTAAGTGTACATTGTGCATAAAGTATTAAAATTTCCAAAAAAACCAACCAAAATTTATGTAATTCCCAATGAATCCATCACTAAGTCAATAGTTGTGGATTTTAATGGGCACACGTGTACCAATACATTGGGAGGAGTAAAAGAAATCATTGCAAAGTTACATGGACCCCATTTATTGATTTACTTCAAAACCATGTACATTCAAGCTGATAAATTTTTTTTAAAATTCTTTTTTATTTTTGAATGTATAATTTTTAATGAGATTTTTTCATACCAAAAATTCAAATTTGAGGGCATTTAATCATTTCCTTTCTTAGTGTGGTTTGATCATGAAAAAATACTGTTTATTTTATTTAAAAAATTTATAGTTGAAGTCATGTTTGGTTAAATTTTATGCAAAAAATATTTAGAATTTAAATATACTTTTTTCTAAAGGCATAATATATAAATATGTCATTTAATTTGTTTCATCTAACATGTTCTTCAATTTTAGATATCCATAAGTAGACACATAAACTTATATAGAATTGAACAAGTTGACACTTGTGTCCTACTTGACGTCCTATGTGACAATATAATTCACGTCCTATGCGATATTTTATGTGGCTCCCACGTGTGTTATTCCCCGTAGGACGCGTGTGTCTACTTCTTCAACTTTATAAAATTTTAAGTGCTTACTTGTGCACTCCCTAAGTTGAATGTCATAGATGTCAGACGAAGTCAAGTTAAAAGATATATTTATATATTATGTTTTTCTAAATATGGTTTATATTCCTCAGTTTCTAAAAATTACTTGACTAATATACCTGAGACGTACAACCAAATTGCAATAAAAAAAAGTAATATCTCAAAATAGATAGTTGTATAATGTCATAGATTAGATCTCATATAAGAACTACCACATACTATAACAAAAAAATATCACTTTATTTAAAATTTTTGAAGTTGAACTTGTGTCAAGCTATTGATTTTGCAAATTATATTTGATTATTTGAATGTGTTTTTTTTTAAAAATAAATAAACTAATATGAAATATAATTCAAATGGGGCCATTTTTATAAGAATAAAGAATTTGTGATAAATTTTAAAAAGGATAATATAGTTAGGGGCTGTTTGGTTATTGGTTAGACTTACGCAGTTTTTAGTAATGCATGGTTTAGTTATGTAGGATTTAGTTATGTGGTATTAATTATGTTGGTGTTAATTATGCAAATATTAGTTATGTAGGTATTACTTAGTTATGTAGAGATTACAATACATAAATTATTAATTATTGAATATATTATTTACAAATAAATAAGCAAGCAAATAGTATAATTTCCAAAAAAAAATAAAAATAGAAAGAAATCTTCTATATACTTAAGTGGGAATTCTATTTATTTTTTCTCTCTCTATTTTTTTTTTAATGTTTAAAGCTTATAAAAATAAAATACCATAAATATATTTCAAGTACATTATAAAATCCTATTTTATATAATGTAAATTTCTATCAAGATGCTGCATGTATTGTTTGTACATTTTTAGTATACCAAATATATGAGTTATATATAAATTTATATTCCAAATAAAAAAACAATACATAATAATTAAATATGTGGAATATATTTAGTAATATATGGTGATAATATATGATTAGCATATGCGTTGTCAAAATTATACATTCCGATTCATCATATTAATAAAATATTTATATTTTGATTTCAAATGAAAACAAATAAAAAATTGTTCGTATACAAAAGAAATAAGAAACAAAAATAGCTAGGAAAATAGAATAGTTATGTAAAGTTTTTTCTAGAGTTTTCAATATAAAAAGGTAATAGGGATAAATGTGTAGTTTTTTTAATACATGTATAACTAATACCCTCATAACTTATTCCATCTTTTATCATGCATAATTTATACATAGATTCCCTCATAAGTTATGTAGGTATCAATTATGTAGGATTACAAAAAATGTAACCATACACCGTATAGAATTAATACAAGAATAACTTTTATACAATATTGAGAAACGTATCAACCAAACATGGTAAGTCATGTTGGCTTTTCTACCTAATAGGAAAATAGAATAGTTATGTAAAGTTTTTTCTAGAGTTTTCAATATAAAAAGGTAATAGGGATAAATGTGTAGTTTTTTTAATACATGTATAACTAATATCCTCATAACTTATTCCATCTTTTATCATGTATAATTTATACATAGATTCCCTCATAAGTTATGTAGGTATCAATTATGTAGGATTACAAAAAATGTAACCATACACCGTAAAGAATTAATACAAGAATAACTTTTATACAATATTGAGAAACGTATCAACCAAACATGGTAAGTCATGTTGGCTTTTCTACCTAATACAAAATTTCTACCAAATATAGTAAAACATATACAACTTTTTATATATGAGAAAAAAATGCATCTTATACGGTAACCAAACGGCCCCTTAAAGTATTAACAAGGTTTTGAATGTTTTTCAAATTTCAAATACAACTTTAAGTTATATTTGTAATTTTCATAATCAGATGTTGATTTTCAAATAAAGTGAAATAAAAAGATTATCTATTTCTTTGTGTTAATTTATTTTTCATATCTATTAAAAATAAATAATTAAAAATAATTTTATTATCTTAAAATAAGATATAATTTTATTTTATTTTTCATGTTTATACTACTCTAAATGTGAAAAGAATATCATCAAATTAACTGTTTAATTATGTTTGACATTATGTTAAAATAACCATTGGTGCATATTATATTGTATTGTTAATTAAGACAATTTAAATAAGTTACAAGTTATGATTTGATAAAAATATATGTTTATATATATATATATATATATAATTAACTGTTTAATTATGTTTGACATTATGTTAAAATAACCATTGGTGCATATTATATTGTATTGTTAATTAAGACAATTTAAATAAGTTACAAGTTATGATTTGATAAAAATATATGTTTATATATATATATATATATAAATTATTATTATTATTGTTATTAATATAAAGTGTGATTTTATTATCATTTACTATCGTTTTTATTAGAAAATATTAATGATAATTTTTCTTTTCAAAAAATTAATTAAATACCTCTTAAATTTGTAATATTGGGCCCGTTAACGGGCCCTTTCATATCTAGTACATATAAATACGCCTATATGAAGAATTGTACGTATTTAATTTTAAAATACTTTCCTTATATAGTACACTACAATTTCCCATTATTTCAAGTGGTTGTGGTTTGTTAATGGGTAGAAGTTGAAGGACTAGTGGTCCTATCTATGCCAATGTATTTGGTCCCAAATATGGTGATATTCAAACAACGACATTATATTATTTTGTGCGGTCCCTGTTTTCTCTTTAATACTTTTTAATAAATTAAATAACGATTGCGAGTCATTTTCTATTCTAATTTTTCTTTTATTTTGAGTGGTTTAAAATTAGTAGTTTAATTTTCTTTTGTTACGAGTGGTTCGAACAAAATGAAA